TTAGATTTAAAATTTACAGAAAAGAGTATCCTTAAAAAAAGTTTTAAAAGTGAATTCAGACACAAGCTAAATGTGACTTGTCATATTTAAGATTCCTCTGCGAACACACACATTACTCCAAAGAAACATTTGCATTACTCAATCACTATCTTCACTTGCACACACATTTTAATCTTCAGTTTCATCTCCTTCATCTTCAATTTCATCCACATTTTCATCTTCAGTATCAGTACCATCTTCCTCTTCACTGTCATAATCAATTCGCATGCCATGATGTACTGCACCTTCTACTACCCATGAAGCAGCGTGGAGGAATTCACCTGGAGTTATTTGATGAGATATCAACATTTTAGTCAGTCTTATAACCCTCCGATTGTTTTCCAAGGTTTTCCACCTTGGTGCCTTAGTAACACCGTCACCAGTAGCGGCAGACAATTTATCACAAAATGCAAGGTGTTCAAGTTGAACAAAGCCACCTGTCAGAGGAGAATTTAAAATTAATTTTATAGAAAGAAGCACATAATTTTTGAAAGAGGTGTATTTGCGTACCTATTAATTTCCAGATGTTTGGATGATTTTGTGGACAAACGTTAGCAATCATCCTGTTATCACTTTCAGATGAGTTGTTGGTTCTTTCAGGTTGATCAAATGTAGAAAGCTCATTGGTTCTTGGCAGCCACTCTTTCCTGAAGTATTCAAACAGCGGCCTAAGGCTGTCTTTCCAGCCAGAGGCCTCCACTTGAGTCCAGATTTCTTCAATACCAGTGGATATCATAGGAGGTGGCAGCAACGGAGCTCCACCAACACACCTTATGAATGTATGGACAACCTCATTACGTGATGCTAATGGTGCAAGGCCCAGCTTCTGGCATTTCCTCCCAATGCACTGAAAACATTAAAAAATAATAATTTATAAACCGTCGATACATTTAGTCCAGTTACTTTAAGTCATTACGTACAGCTCCATAGTGCCATAGGCAGCCAACTATGTCACTCTGTGGAAATACATGGCGAATCGCATTAATTGCAGCCTTTTCAAAGTCACAGTGTATTCTAGCTGGGTTTAGACCTGGGACTAAACTCTTGAGATACTCAAACAGAGTGACATATGCTGCTTCTGTGCGGCTCATCATAAGAACGCGTACTAAAGAGATAATCTGGAATGTATACATATGCCATATTGAAGAGTTACTTTCAAATAACAAATAATCGTAACTTTGATTTGAAGGGTACTCACACAAGATTCAAAGTTGGTGACTATATTATAAATTTGCCCACATTTTGGCTTACGGGGCCTCTTTTTAAACGTGCCATCCATGTGAAGATTGGGCCTATTATGGAGAAACTGGAGCATTCTGCCGGATACGAAAACAATGGAGACAGTTTTGTCAGCCATATTCCCAACTACTCCCCTAAAAATGAAGTCTTGTCCATCTACTGTGCGACACACTGGGCGCATATTTGGGAGTCCTAGAAGTATACCAAGATACAGAAGAGTAGCTGGAATCCGAGGATAATTGGCTGCTCTTGCTGAGTACATTGCAGAATGCATCCTGACTGTTGTAAATCTTCTAGCAAGTTCTGGATTTAGGCTGCACATTCGAGGAAAATATATGTTTACTAAAGGGGAACTGCACACACTTATATGGAGTTATCTTTCCAATCTTACCTCAATTTGATGTCACGTAAGAGTTTGCGGATGCTACAGCCTAACAGATTTTGCCCAGCTGCTGACACAAGTTCTGCTCGCACTCTGGTATCTTCCACGAAGTATTGTTCACGTTCACAGGTATGCGCTTGCCGGGGTGTCAATACGCCCGTTTCCAGATCTAAACTTCCTGTAGCCCTGCAGTCTGTCGCCTTGTATCTTCGGCAGATCAATCTTGCTCTATGAGGGCGGAACTCCTTGATGGAATAGTAGTACCCATCACCAATGTGGAGAATTACGCATCCATCACTTCTTCCCGTCAAAACTTGTACGATGTCACCGGGATGGCCGGCCATACTTAGTGCGGAAGTTGTGGAGTTCCAGGAGGGAGTGCCAGACGACGATGAAACCGAATGGTCACTGTTGCCAACTGTGGTTTGGCTGGGGATGTGAGAGTTCCATGCAGCCAGATGTTGATTTGTACTGCACAGAAGGTTGTTATTAGTTGTTTCTCTTCAATATTTTTCCTATACTTCAAAACAATTAAATGTTCCGTAAATATTTATTTTTAATTGTTAACATAAAGAATTTTGATGTGTGATGAGAATTTTGCGGACTACTTTCCTTTCACGTAGGCGTTGGCTGTCCAAGCCGCGTTCCGCTTCCGCCGCGCTCCGCCGATATAAATTCTTCGATCCACCTCCGCTCAGCTCAATTTGACTTTGACTGCAACCTGCTGCTGACAGTGTAACGTGACTCCATCCAAAAGTGAGTTATTGAGAGCATCTGTTCCTCCGGTCTAGTTTCGTGTCAATTTGTATGATTCCGTATGTTGCTCTGGAACTCTGCCTATAGTACTGTTTTATTTATCAGCATGGATTTTGATGAAGTGCGTCGAAGGCTGCAACGCTTCTCTATTGTCGCTGACGATTTCGATGTAGTCAATGTCAATAGTCCTAGTGATCCCACTCCCACCGTTGAGATGGCGCAGTCTCAAGTGATTGTTTCTGCTGACGCCCGTCAATTCGAAGATGGCATCACTATTACTATATCTGGCATCAGAGCATCAGGTATTTTCCGATAAAACGTTGCCATACACTTAAAGTTTAAGAATTTCCGTCTGTTATTTAGTTGAAATGATTGCAGATTTGCTGTCTACGCTGGCTGCGTTCAACCGGCCTCCAAGGAGCAGACCAGGTTATCAGCAACGAGGCGCGGCTTCTAGTTCTCAAGCTTCAAGTTCTCAGCAGCACGCGGCGGCTTCTAGTTCTCAAGCGTCAAGTTCTCAGCAGCACGCGGCGGCTTCTAGTTCTCAAGCTTCAAGTTCTCGGCACCACGCGGCGGCTTCTAGTTCTCAAGCTTCAAGTTCTCAGCAGCAGCCGGCGGCTTCAAGTTCTCATGCTCATCGGTTTACTCCAGTGATTACTAGTAGCCCCATTTCTCCAACTGCGGCTCCAGTCAATGGTGGAACTGACATCCACTGTAACGTGAATCTGAGTGAGTAAATTTCATGCCTGAAACTGTATCTTAATCAGATATCGGAGCAGCCCTTTGGTGCCTTAGTCCAAGTCCCAAATATGTTGTAGAGTGTTATGACTCAGCTCACTGCGGTATTCTAAATACCAATGTTTCAAAGGATAATCACGTTGTTATTGGAATTTATTTGAGTATACACAATACTATATGTTTGAGACATGGGTTAGAGTGACTGCTGTGTGCTCACTTCTGCTTTGCTGTGATTTGATCAGTTCTGTATTGTTGCCAGGTTCTATCATGGTTCCAACTATTGAAGAGACAATGTTTCTAGATGCCTCTGTCCCAGGCTATACTCAAGATATAGCTGAGCGACAAACAGAGGCTAAGAAACGGCAGAATGGGCTTCCGTCTTCTGCCATCTCCAGTGCTGGTATGAATGTTATCCAATCATAACTTAAATTACTCCTCAAATTGATCAGCCTTAGTCGCTGTGGTTTAACCATGACCATATGCATTTGGTGGCTTCTTATGTCTTTAATTTGTTCGGATTGCATATTGGAACCACTGAGATACTTTATCAGATGCAAACAAACACTGCTTTATGTGAGGTAATGTGCTAGTAAATTCTAATATTTATTTCGTAGGTTTATTCATGAATCAGTCTGAAGATGACACCAGTGACAACTACCAGAGAGTCCAAGAACAGAGTAAGGAACTTCAGTGGTTAAGAAATTATTTTTCTATAGATTAACTGAACATGGTGATTAATCCACGCTATCTTTTGCAGGGTCCCGGGTAAAGACCTCAATCAACCAGAAGTCCCACAATCGGGAGCAACATAGAAGCTCCAGTATGGAGACCACTGCTGCGGCAAAGGTCTTAATGGACAAACCAACAGACGCCAGGAAGAAAATTCCTAACATCAATAATCCACAAGCTGGGCCGTCTTCAGCCATCAGTAATGGTGAGAACGTTTTTAAAATGATACCTACTCAGGTCTTAATTCCTGGTCCCCTTATAGTTTTAGAAAATAATGGTTGCTTTAGGTTCATTTTTTTACATCCAGTTCACTTTACTGTTAAAGTAGTCTTTGCTCTGCTGTTAAAACAAGATACTTACTTGTTTCAGGTCTGATCATGAATCTTTCTGATACTGACGATGAAGGGCTGATCATCCAAAAACACAGTATGTTACTTCAGTGGGTTTAAATTTTATTTTCCATAGATCTATTGAACATTGCAATTTTATCCATATTATCTGCCCAGGGTCTCGGGGAAAGACTTCAACCAAACAGAAGTCCAACAATCGAGATCAGCATAGGAGCTCCAGTATGGAGGTCAGTGCGGCCAAGGTCTCATCGACAGGCGCCAGGAAGAAAATTCCTATCCACATCAATAATCCACAGGCCGGACCATCTTCAGCCATCAGTAATGGTGAGAATTTTTCTAAAATGACATCTACTCAGTTTCTAAGTCCTGGCCCCATGATACTTTTCTAAAATGATTGTGGCTGAGTTAGGTTTTAAATTTAACCATCCTTGCCTCGTGATAAGACAGGATTTTTGAACTTTGTTCCAGGCTTGATCATGAATCTCTCAGACAGTGAGGATGAAGAGCCAAGGGTCAAAGAGCACAGTAAGTTACCTCATTGGTTCTACATTTTATTTTCCATAGATCTTCTGAACATGACATTTTCTCCATTTCCGTTTTTACAGGGTCTCGGGGGAAGACCTCAACCATCAACCATCCAAGGTTCCATTATCGGAAGGAACAAAGGAGCTGTGGTATGGAAGCTAGTGCGGCCGAGGTTTCATGGGAGAAACGATCAGGCGCTCGGAAGAAAATTCCTCACCTTAATCCAAAGGCCTCTTCAGCTATCGCCAGTAATGGTAAGTATATTACTTTTCAGGTGTTAGGCACTCAGATCTTTAGATTTAGGGCCGCATGATAAGAAATTTCTAAAGTAATTATAGCTTTTCAGTTATTTCGTTGTCTTGTTTGACCAGTTTAATTATTAAAGAAGTAGTTGCCCACTGAACAAGATTTTAAACTTTGTTTCAGATCTGGTTATGACTCTTTCTGATTCTGAAGATGAAGGGCTAAAGGTGCAAGAACATGGTCAGTATTCTTGGGGTTTTAAAATATTACGTTCTAATTGCTTCTGCACTCTTTATTAAAACTAATTCTTTACAGCGTATCAGGCACCAACTTCGACTCGACAGTCCAAGGGTACTTCTTCAAGCAACATCCAAAAATTACTTGCCAGTCAGCGTGGGCAGTGGGACTTTGATCCAAAACCCAAGAGACCAAGAGGAAGGCCACCCGGCAGCAAAAACAAGAAGAAGGCAGAGGACAAGAGGGCTGGCAAAAGAAAGCGGGAGGATGAGGCAGGCCCATCTACTAAAGGTATGTTATTCAATTCGAACTCATCAATTAAACAAGCTACTTGGTACTAATATCTATTCATTTTCAGGAGACCTAGAGTGCTGCATATGCAGAGAAGGGATGAAGGAAGCAGGGGGCAAATTTTGTGTCACTGAATGTGGCCACTTCTTCCACATGGCGTGTTTGGAGAAATGGCTCATTGCGTCAAGTCAGAAATACCGCACCATAAAAACCTGCCCCTACTGTGGGGGAGAATACCGTCTGAGCATTCCATGCTTCTGCTAATTTTCCTGGCAGGGGTGTGGGCTTTCCACGTCTAAAACCCTGCTATTAGTGAGTGTAATCCCTTAGGTTTAGTAGCAGCCAATTAAGCTTGTGTCTTAAATTCACTTTTAAAACTTTTTTTAAGGATACTCTTTTCTGTAAATTTTTAATCTTATACAGTTTTAATTGTACCCTACTATATATCAAATTAATGTCTTGATCTATGTTCTGTTTAACCTAATAAACAGTTGTCTGTGGAAGCGCAATATCTTTTTACTTGCTCTCAACCATTAGACATGCAACACACCTCGATAGCCATACTCCCTTGCGTTGGACCCTTCTGGTGTTTGTGTATTTAAAGTTAACATCTGCACCGAAGGCAAAGTATATTTTGCTATTCAATTGGACAATGACATATGTTTCTGGCAAGCTTTCATTCCTGGGTATCGAGAAAGCAGTTATCAGATCACACTCAAAGATTGAAATTAAAAATAAGTTGTCATAAAGTTGAGTGGGTGTCCTTTAACAATCGTCACTGAACATTCTTCCGTGGTTTCGTTGGCACAGGTTACAACACAAACATCGAAGGTCAAGTGATTAATTTCTAGTTGTCTATGGTGAGTGGAAATAAACACAGCTATATTCCTTGCTTGCTTTATTGTGCTCAACTTTGAATTAACTAGGAAGAAATTATTGCCAAGATATGAGCAAGTATACACATTAAACACTTTGTATTAGGAGCTTTCAGTGATGTGCAGAGGCCCGGAGGTTGAAGACAGGTTGTGGTTTGGATTTGGATGGCTGGGAACATACGAATCCACTGTCGCTCAGCCTACAGAAAAACGGGTAAAAATTTGACAGTTAAGATAAGGTTACTTTTGACATGCGAGTTGAGGACAAACAAATGGCACTTATCGGCAAACAGATCTAACTTACCGAAACAGACACTGAACTCTCGGAGTAGAGAAGACGCACTTTCAAGAGCACACACATATATTTATGAAGAAAGAAGTTCCAAATCTGTCATGACTAGATTTAACGACAAATCTGTTATTTAGACAGCTTAGAAGAAACTTCCACAATCGTTCTAGCAGACAGCAACAGCTTACGCGCAAATCAGAATAAATTCTTATATAACCTTATGTTTTGTTTATCCATTGCTTTTGCGTCCGGAGGGACTTGCTTGAGGCTACAGCAGGTGCCGAACCGTGCCGAACCTCCTCGGGGACGGTATGAAAAATTTCGCATGCGGCGCACACAGTCAAAAATATTCTTTTGAATAA